AGGCGTTCAGGTTATAGAGTACGGCGCTGTCCACAGTCACCACATCCCCGGCCCCCCTGCGCACCAGCTTCTTGTACACGCCGTCCTTCACCAGCGGTTCCATGCATTTGATGCGCTCGTCGTAGAGGTCCGGCTGTTCGCACAGGTCTTCCACGGGTTTGGGGCTCACCTCCAAGTAGGACATCATCTGCTCTCTGGTCCAGTAGTTGTGTCGGGCGTCTAACTCATCCTTTTCCCCTTCCGTCACCTCATCGGCCGTCTCGAACTCGAAGCCCTTATCGGTGGCCATATCGCTGCAGACATATCACCACAAGTGGTCACACATTCAACACATATATGATGGCAATGAGTGGTTACGTGAGATCCTGTTGAGCGAAACGGATGGGTCTGATGCTCACATCGGTGTCCACTTCGTATTCACCCGTCTCTTCGTCCCACTCCACCAACTGGTCCGGCGATGACCGCTCCAGAGAGCCATCCGATTGCCTTTTGTCCGTGTCTTCCGTGTTCACCATCGCTGCCGATGACTATCCGATACTAATCACTGGTAAATGCAATGAAAACACCAATTAATGAATCAAATGAATGGACAACAAGTGATTCACTGATTGTTTGGCCAACACTTTGTCGTGCAATGAGTTTGTGTCTCACTATTGACCACAACTTGTGTATTAAATACGGCTTTCAATTGACAACTAATTGTAATCATAGGACTGTTTGGAGAGACAATAGACTCAAAACGAACGCAATGTTTGCTTTCACTCAAAGCCTAACACATGTCAGTATCGGTCTGTCTATGAGTTCAATCACACCAAACAATAGACTCACAAATCAAATGAGACACCAATTAGTCATCAAATGAATGCACGAATCAAACCGTGTTTTCAGTGATTCACAGTTTGCAATGCAATCACAACAACACTTACGGTTACATTCACTCAACACTTATGACTCAATAATAACCACAACTTGTGTTCAATGGCGTTCAATGGACCACACAATGAGTGAACTATTGGATTCATTTAATACTAACGCAATGTTTATGTTGTCAATGGACTCACTGTCTGTCTGTGACTGGCATTCAAACCAATGGTTTAGCGCTTAAACACAAATGCTGTGACCGTATGGCACGTGAGTGCAAGCATTG